AACAAAAATAATAGAAATTAATAAACTAATAAGATCATAATATTAAAGTACTAAATTAGTATTAAAATATAGTAATGAAAATATTATTAATGTAATAATAAAATAATAATATATTTATAAAATATTCATAAATTAATGATAGATACTAAGGTATTAATTATTAAATACTAATAAAATAATAATTATATGTTCATAAAATCTTAATAAAGTAATAATAAAATAATGAATAAACTAATACAAAAATGAAAATTTTTAGTACATTCCGGTTCCAACTCCCAATGAACCAAACAACAACATTGAGAATTTGATTGTGATTCCTGATTAAACCAAATAAGCATAAGGAATAGGTGATTCCATTTCTGATTCCTCAGGATTTCGATTCCGGTTCCAATTCTGGTCCTATCCACAATGCAAATGGACCCTTAGAAACATGAGTTCATTAGAAACTCACTCAACATTAACCACCCTTACAACCTTTTAAGTACCCATACTGAACCTACATGAAACACTTTATACAACCCAAAATAGGCAAAAATGACATTTGAATTGATTTCTACTAATATAGGTGACCCTAGTTTCTAATTTATAATTTTTTTTTTTTTTTTGCTTCATGGGACTACACAATGGGTGCAGACTATTGCCTAAACCCATAATCCCCAACCCTGGTCGTAGCAGGATTTGATCCTAGGTCTCAGGTAGAAACAACTTGAGATCAAGTGACTTAATGGCCATTAGTTGGTTTATATCTAGTTCACAAGGGGGGGGGGGTGTAACAAGTGATTTTTTAAATGTTATAAGATTGGAAATGTATAAATGGTGAAGATTAAGCAATGACAAAATGTTGAATTTTACCACCTAATATAATTTGGTTAGTATTTATCTTTTTACTTAATAGTTTTAACTAGTAATTTTGCATGTGCATAATGACTAAAAATTTATAGCTTTAAATTTTGTATTCTATTTTTATCATTAATAAGAATACTTCTTTTTTTATTTTTGTTTAATACAACAAATATATAATATTAGAGATGCATCCAAAATTTTCTATAATTTTTCTTGACATTACACACACACACACAATCAACTGAGACAATAAATCCAGGCTCAAGAGTGGTACATTCTACTAACAAGCCACGATACTAGAGATGACCTATCCCACGGTCTGAAGTTCAAAACTGAAGCCTAGCCAAACATAAGATGGGATGAGGCTAATTGGGCTTGAGCTGCATCTACCCTTAGGTCATATTTGGTTCATAGAAAATAAGATAGAAACAGAAAGTTGATGGAGGAATTTCATAAATATCCTTAGGAACTTTCCACCAGCTTACTATTTCTCTCTTATTTTCCATCAAAGAAAAAAAACATAAGCCTTCGGAGAAGGCATACAGAAAAGGGCCATGGTCTTGAGATCAGGGTTCTTGGGAGAGGTGACCTGGATGAATGCCGAACATTTGGCATTTTCTTGCACGAAGTGGTTGCTCTCAGTCTCAAATTAGATTTCTTTAATGTGAGATTTTGGGGGTATTCAACAGCATGATTGATTTTGTTTTTGACAAAAACTGTCACATCAGCAAAGTCATATCATTTTTAGTATTTAAAAAAACAACCATGTTGTCGAACACCCTCTTTACAATTGCATCAAGTAATGGCTCCTAGGTATGGGGAGAACCCCTTAGTCTCCATCTGGAAGGAGTACAAATACAAATATGTAGAGTGTAAAACCTTGTATTTTGTATTATTTTATATCTAGTTGTACTGTACATATTTGTATTTGTACTCCTTCCAAACCGAGCCTTAAGTGCAATTGTAAAATCTCAGGTTGGCAAGTTTGAAAAATTCGGTTTGAGTCTAGATATACATAAATATGCTTTCATTTCTAGGTATAAAACTTGTTACTTATGCTCCATTTGTTTTGTTAGAAAACAGTAAAGTAGAAAAAAAAATTGCTTTTTATGATTTTACAATTTTTTTAGTATTTGGTTTTGTTGAGAAATCACATTTCTTGGAAAGTATTTTGCTTGGCCAAGAAAAATATGGAGATCTGGGCTTTGAATTTCTTTCCTTTTCTTAGTTTCTTATGTTCCATTTGCTTTGTCAAAAAAAAATCTTGTGAGTTGTGAACATTCTACATCTCCCCAACTCCTTGAGGTCACATTAATGCTCCACAGATCACATCATAACCACCTTCTGTCCAGATCAAGTTGGCATTATATCATCATCATCATGCCCATTGCAGTCCACCTCCATGAGACAACTTCAATTGAGTTGTTTTTAGTAGCTGTTGTGTTTTTCATGGGTTCCATTCTGTTGACACTGGAGTGTTCTAGGTATTAGTCATCATTCATAGTGTTGGTTGGAGCTACATCTGTTAGGTTTCGTTCTGACTTCTTGAGGCTTCAAGACCCTAGAGCTACATCTGTTATGTTTCATTTGCACTTCTCTTGTCTTTCTTTTTTGTCTAAATTCCAGTCTCTCAACCACCCAGATGAGCATTTTATTCATACTGCTCCCTCTTGCTGGTACATGCGGATCTATCCAGAATAATTTGAAGTCCTCTGCAGGCCCTCACTGGGTCAAATTCTGTTACTTTTTTCCCCTTTAGCCTCTCAGGACCTCACCATCTAGCTGTAGTGACATGGTCTATGGAGGCCCATAATGCAACACTTTAGGGTTCATTTCCTCTTCTTTTTCTTTTTTGGTTATGATGGCCTGTTATCATAAGATCATAAGAAGCAAGTTGTGGGCTCAGGCAGTCCCCTCTTTGAGGTCATCTGGGCTCCATTTCCAGCCCACTGTGGCTCCCACTATTTGGCCCATAGAGCCCCTTTCTATCAATGCAGAATTTCAGAACGAGTCCGGCCCTTCACAACACCTCTTTTCATTAATCCATAGGAGAGCTCTGATTTTTTCTCAGTTCTCAGTGTTCTAATCCATCAAGTAGCAATGATCAACCCATAACATTTCGTTGGCATACAGGCATGACTCTTTCCAGAGGGTATATACTACTGATGGCATCTACTGATCAAACTAAATGGCAAATTTCTTTAGATCTTTGCTGGACATTAGTTTGATGGGTGATCCTTTTATATGCTGATGATATAGGGTTCGATCGGTTGGTTGAGTTTGAGTATAGGCCAATCCTGAATTGGGGCTGTTAACGGCTGAAGTGGGTAAACTCAATGACTTTTTGCTTTGTCTTTTAGTGGATAAAATATCAAGAATATAGATCAATCCAATTTCAGTTTTTTTTTTCTTTTCTTTTTCTTTTGATAGAAATAAAAAAATTATTAAAAATGAAAGAAGTAGTGATACAAGAAGAATGAACACAGTGGCCCAGCCCAAAAGAAGGAGGTCAGTGTCACAGAGCTATACAAAACTAACAGGGCCCTCCAACAAAAGCCCAGCTAAACCCCAATTTGGGGTGTCAATTGGGCTGGATTTGGTCCAATCCGATCCAGTCCAATGTGAGTCCATTATAAATGGACCAGGTCCAATCCAATCCAATGAATGTTTTGGACCAATTTGGACCACTCCAATTCAATGTTTGGACCGTCAAATTCATTTAAATTTATTTTGATTTAGATTGGTTTCAATCCAAACCCGGTCAATTGACACATATATTCTTATCTTATATCAATAGACCAGATATTGACTTAATCCTAGGGCTGTTCATAAGAAGACCCAACCCGACCAAACCGAAACCGACCCGAACCGAGCCGACTTAGTAGTTAATAGTTAGTTCTTAGTTAGTATTTACAACCTACTTAGTTCCTATTTAACTAAGTTGTCTCTATCCTATTTACAATCTAACTTAATTTCTAGTCTTCTAGTTAGGAATGCCATTAATGGCAAGTATTGTAAGACAACTAGACAAAGAATTTTTTTGAAAAAGTTTAAAGAAAAGAATCAAAGGATCCTAGTTTTTATGGCTTTTTACACCAAATAGGCAACCAATTACAATTAGAATTAGGTGTTCTTTTTTACTTAGATTAGAAGGTTTCTTGAAATATACAAATTTCAGTCTTCTTTCTCTAATATAGTTTGACTTTTTCTATTTTCTTGATAACTTCTATTCTAACTTGGTCTGCCCCCTACCAATTTCAGTCTTCTTTCTCTAATAGAATTAGGTGTCCTTTTTTACATCAAATTTCAGTCTTTTTTCTCCAATCTACCAATTTATTACCATGGTCGAATTTAGAGCCAAAATCGACCCAAACCGACCCAACCCGACTCAAACCGACCAGGTCGGTTTTGCTTAACACATGGTCAGTTTCGGTTTCAATTTCAGGTAACCCGACCAGATCGGGTCAGTTAAAAAATCACAGTAAACCGACCCTACCCGACCCGTGAACAACCCTACTTAATCCAACCCAATCCAATATAAATTTGTTACGGATAGACCATGTCCAATCCAATCTAATAAATATTTTGACCGAATTGGTCCAATCCAATATGCCTTATTGGTCCATCCAATCCATCCAAAACCAGTCCATTGACACCCTTAACCCCAAACTTTGAGAAGAAAATTAAGAACCTCAAAATACAAAAGCTCTCTGCCAAGAACATTACTTGATCTAATGATAAAATTTTGGGCTGATGATAAGAATGAGAATGTGGGTTTGAGTCTGCGAACAGCCACTTTGTGCAAGGAAAATGCCAAAAGTTAGGTTATCCAACTGTCCCCTTGACGGAAAAAGGCCTATTATCACCTATATCGTGATCTTGATTTTTAGCTTATCGTTGCTCGGTTGGCTATTTTCTTGGAAAACTGATGTACAATCTTTCTATTTGAATACCAAATAAAGCAAAGGTATAACTCAGACATGCCCAGTAAAGATATGGTTTTTGCATACATGATCTGCCATCCCGATTAAGTAAGTCGCTCATAATTTAACAGTGGATATGACACCAAATAGAACAGAATCCCGAAGTGAGATTCATGACCCCATATAATTGGGATAAAGCTTGGATGACGATGATAATAAACAATAAGCAAGAAATTGATTAACAGATACTGAGTTCACTTTTATCATTAATATTAAAGCATCAGCAGTAATAACCAAATCAGTCTCTAAACTACTTCTACAATATCAACTGAAAGTACCCACCTCCAAAAGACATCAATGGAGAATGAGTCTTGTTTTCAAGTAATAGGCCTACTTATTACAATCCAAACATTAGGATTTTACATATTAAAAAGTATCAAGGTTCTTCTCAACATAGATGATTCAATGAGAGAAAGCGAGAGAGATGAGAGAGGGGAGTGGGGGGAGGGGAGAGAGAGAGAGAGAGAGAGAGAGAGAGAGAGAGAGAGAGGTAACCTTGGTCCTAACCATGGTAGGAGGGGTTAGAGGAGACTTAACACAAGAGACACAAAATATTTCTCAAGGGTTATCTCCTTGGTCTGGTTTGACACCACAAAAAGTCCAACAGAGTGGGGAAAAAACGAAGAAAACAATCCTACAAGTGAGTTGGATCTCCAAAAGCCATTAATGGAGTTCTTGTAACATTGATGACAGGAGGTATGCGCTAATTGCCAAAAAGTAGCGCCCCTCTGAGTTAAATCGGGCTAAAACTCCCAATGTTCAGCCACGATGAATGTACAAAAAAAAAAAAAAAAAAAAAACAACATAAGTCAATGCAGTACCTTCCCTTACCCTAAGGGAAGACAATGAGGGTTGATTACATGGTTACACAGAGGTTATATGAGAGTTACGTGAAGTTGGTAAAGCATTTAAACACCTGATGATGATCATGAGTCACAAAAAATTCAACAAAACAGTTTTGGTCATTTTGAAAAAGGACATCTAGGACTAGGGTTGATGTTAGCACAAATATGACTCTACGGCATCCTGTGCCCTTGGTTTGATAAAAACTGTCTTCTCTAGATAGATTTAGAGATTATGTTTAGCTGGAGTCTCAAAAGAAATTAGCCAGTTCAGCAAACTTCAAATCCCAATGTATGTTGGAAGTAAGGACCTGCTATCTGGTTTGTTGAATTTACAATATTTCTGCAAGTCCAAGTTAGATCACTAGTACTGTTTCTCTTCTCATCTGCAGCCTTTCCAAGGGCTCATATATATGTTAGGGGATTAATTGTTTCCAACTTAGCCCCATCAATTGGCTAAAGTTGGTGACCTGCAGCCACAGCAACATTCCTTGGTTCTCTAGGGAACCACACAAACTTGAGTGCCTGATGATGTAGCCCAACCTTGAGCTAAATGCAAGGGAAGTCGCCCAGTTTAAAGGACATGCACTGTTGCTTGGAGGGATTTTCTCCAAGTTTCAAGGATGATTTTAGCCCCTATGGGGGGCTAATTTGGTGAGAAGCCCCAAGGTTCCAAACTTGGGCTTGTGTTAGAAGGAAGAGAGAGAGAGAATAGAATAGAAGAGAGAGAGAGAGAGAGAGAGAGAGAGAGAGAGAGGGAGAGAGAGATTTTTAACCATGGTTAAGCCGAAGGTTGTTCTGCTGATGGTTGGAAGTGGGTAGGAACAAGTCTGTAGTGGTGAGGTGTTGGGGCATGAAGAGTTGGAGCTGTGGGAGCCATGGTCACGCCTGTTGTAGAGTAAAACACACTGTTAAAGATATATATTAGTACCACATGGTGAGAATATCAACTAAACACAGAATGCTTTGTTTAACATACATTAGATATAATTGAACCAGAAAAATGGCACGAACCTGCTTGAGAGGGTGGAGTAGGAGAAAGAGACATAGGTCCACCGCCGTAGTGATGGGCGAACCCGGTTGAACCAACGCCGGAGTATTGAAACAGGTGTTGGGGATATTGGAAGCCGTATCCCTGCCCACCCGTGTAGGCCGCAGTTCCTCCATTGCCCTGCCCGAAGTGGAGGTAGGGGTAGAAAGCGGCGGTGGTTCCGGTGACCATTCCACCGGCCCCAGTCCCATACATTGGATACTGGGACGTTGCTCCTCCTCCATATATACTGTAATAACTCTGCACCAAATTAAACATCACCCCAACATAAGTTACTCTTCAGAGGGAAACTATGCCTTATTAACATCTAGGAGATCAGTAGAGAAGTAAGGAAGAGGCAGTATTACAAACCGCAAGATAGCTATACTCTGGTGAGTATGGAGAGTACCTGAAATGTGTGGAGAGAGAGAGAGAAATGGTTAGGGACTACTTAGAATAGAAACTGAATTGAATATGCATTTCCATGATGATGATGATGATGATGATGCATGTGAGCCCTTTCCATCACATGCAGCTGGTGAAGCAGTAGAGTCAAGCTAGTCTAATGATCATCATTGGTGTATGAGTTACATACACATTATGAATGCATGTGGCATGCATTTCCATGATGATGTTGCATGTGAGACCTTTCCATCACATGCAGCAGCAAGCTAATCTTATCATCACGCATGGGTGTATGAGTGGCATGCACCATGCATTCACATGTTCACGTGGAGAGATATAGTTAAGCTTCATGTAGTTCAGTGGCATTAATTAATTACCACTGCATGCATGTGTATGTGTGCATGCATATATAATTATATACATGCATGACATGGGTGACCAAGCATGCATGCACACATGATGGAAGTAGTTTAATCAATGTGGTGGTGTGTATGTGTGTGCTGTATGAACTGGCAATGCACGTGCAGCTTCCTATTTATAACTGTTTGAAAGCTTACCCATATAAATTGTAAGGAATCCCTTGTTGGATGGCATAATGAGGGAAGGTTGCAGCAGAAGGAAAAGCTGTTCCTACCCCACCTTGAAGGCCCGAGTGAAAAGAGCTCATTACCCTAAAGTTTCTGCCTGCGCCTGACCATGAGAAGAGTATATATAATTATACAGTGAAAGGAGAAGAAATGAGAATGATAGATAAACCAAGCAAGGAAAGCTTAAGAAATTAATATTTTTTTTCTTCTTTTTCTTTGTCTTTCTTAGATGAGATATCCTTTTTGTTTCACAGGTTGTTATACAACATCCCTTCAAAGGAATATCAAATATGCCTTCTCCCTCAAGTACTGATGAGAAGTATGAATCATCCTTCGGAGTTACTAGCATTCACTGTTTACTATTTCGTTAGTTATTCCACCAAATCCTTCTTGAAGAAGAAAATTTGAAGAATGAAAAACATATATTTGCAAATTAGAAGATGAAAAGAAAGTTCTTTTTCTACATACATATATACATACATGGATACATGCGTACATACATATTATGTATATATGTATATACAGTGCTTCCAATGAATGGGGATGAGAATGGTGTAATATGAAAAGCATTAGAGAAAGAAAATACAAGGATGAATTTGATATGGGTTAGATCTGATTTATGCTGTAAGTGGAATTTTGATTTTTCTATTGATTCACTTTCATATATTGAACTGAATAAAGGAAAAAGGAGAAAAGGAGAGAAGAGGAGCACTGAGAGAAATAATAACTTGGTAAAAGAGGAGAATGGATAAAAACAGAAAAGAGAAGACAAGACAATATAGAGGGAAGAAGAAAAAGAGAGAGAGAGAGAGAGAGAGAAATAGAGAAAGAAAAGTGATACCATGTTGTGGTGTTGAAGGTCTGGATCTCTGAACACCCAAAGAAGCAAGATTGCAATTAGCCCTCCTCCCATCTATCACAGGAGCAGCATCCACACAAGCTCTCATGGCCGCTTCAGGTTCACGAAAAGTTACCTAAAATAGAAAAGAAGAGAAAAAATAGACTGATCATTAAATCACCCATAACAAGAAAAACAATGGAGAAAGAAAGAAAAAAAAAAAAGTGTGGATCTTGATTCTCTTGATAATTCTGGATCAGTATGATTTCTTTCCATTGAAGAAAAACCTACATCTAGATCTTGGGCGAGCTTCAAACCATCCACTGTTTGAAGCAAAATCAACAAAAGATAAAAGGATAAAATTATACAGTTAAGACCAAGAAAAGATGGAAGAAAAAGAAAATGAAGGAATTATGGAATGGAAAAGAAGGGGAATACAAATCCATAGCCTTTGGATCTTCCGGTGTTCTTGTCTGTGATTACAACAGCCTCCAAAATCTCTCCAAACTGTTCAAAGTATTTCTTCATGGTCTCCTTCTGGGTCTCCCAAGCCAATCCCCCAACAAACACTTTAGTGTAAGTGGTATCTCCAAACTGGCCCGCTAGATTTGCTGGAGTCATCTTCAGACTTCCACCTCTAAACCCTTTTCTCTCCTCTTCTCCTTGATCCTTCCTTCCTTCAAAGTTAGCAGATTTTGATGAGGCACAGCCCTTGACAACAACTCTTATCACTCAGCAGAGAAATACAATGATCTATATGGAACGATATTAGACTACACAAAACAGAAAGATAACCCTCTAAATTTAGAGGTTCTTCTCTAGATTTAGAGGTGATGGATTTGGTGGCGAGGGAGAGGGTTTCAAGATCAGCCTGTTGGGTTAGGGATCAAGGAGAGAGAGAAAGAGAGAGAGAGAGAGGGAGTAGAGATGGAGAGAGAGAGCGCGAAAGGGAGGGAAGAAAGCAAAAGGTGGGAGGGAAAAAGGAAAGAAAGAAAACCATTCTCACATAATACGGACATGTTTTAATATATACTAAACCCCAGCCCCCACCAATTACATTATTGTCGTCACTCATCGTTGTCATCTCATCTCCACCGTGAAAACTAGCTGGTGTGAGGGAAGGCTTGATTTCAGTGACCCAAATACCCTTACCCCTTTCTCGATACTACATAATTGCCTTGGCGGCAAATCTCTTGTAAAATTCACCTTGAGAATCGGAATGAAAGAATACGAGGCTTGTCGTCACCATGGAAGCTAGTGGCAAAAACGGTACGGAGATTTTCAATAACGGAGGAACCCAGATTGCGGTGGTCAACAGTCAAACTTTACTTATTTTCCCCTTATTTTACACATATTATTTAAATAATAATCATGTGGAGAGAGAGAGAGAGAGGTTTGAGAGAGGAGGGTTATTAATTAAACAAGGCAGCATAGGGGGTGGTGAGAGAGAAAAAGGTTTCTCTCACCAGTTCAACTCAATGACCCAATTGCCACCTTGTAAAGCATAAAGGGGTGGAGGAGGGCAGTCAGAAAGAGACAAGTGTAGCTTTGAAAACCCTAAGTTAATATGTATGTCTGAAACCCTAAAGAGGTTTAAGTAATTATTCCATTTTCTTTATTAGATCCACCCATCAAAGTATGATTGGTGTCTAGTTTAGTCGGCAGTATTTCATGCCAATTCAAAGCAGGGTTAATCTCATATATAAAAAATGTTTAATATTATATTTATAATATTAATAAATTAGAATAAAAATTATCAAAAAAAATATATATTAATAAAATAATCTAATTAAATGACTTTGATATTGTATATCATGAATAAAATGAATTGAAAATAACCTTTGTGAGACTCAAACCTCTATTTTTAGTAAAAGTACAACATTCAACCCAACATTACCAATAAATAAAATATAAATTTTATATAGATGCAGTCATATTGGATGGAGCAAAATAGGGGTGGATTTCACTGGATCCGCATTAATTCACTCCAATTATAAATATTAATTGGATTTGATGTTGTCTTGAGTTTGTGAGTCAGACGAGTTGAGGTGTCTCGAGTTGGTGACCTTAAGCATAGAAATGGTCAGATGCCATGAGGTGGGTCCTTGGGGAGAGAATCTCCGACACTCAAGCTGAAGGATTTGGGTGGTCTGACCTGTGAGCTTGTAAATATAAGAAGAGCTGAAGAGACAAAGACAGTTGGAATGCAAGAGTGCATATATAGAGAGTGTTACTTGGGCCGGTGTGCCCTTATATGGACATCCGGTGAGCCATTGCACTTCCCATTTGTGGGATATATGTTGTCCTCCGAGGGAGTCCTAAGGCTGTATTTGGAAACGATGCAAATGGAGTGTAAATCCCGGTTCAGGGTAAATTTGTACTCTGGTTCATTTTTGCCTGTGCTTGGCAATATTACATTTTTGTATTGATAAATGACAGACCAATGCATATTTACATTGATAATAAGATGTAAAAGTATATCAATAAAAAAAAGAAATAAATTTGCATTCAAGTGGACTTTTGATAAAAAAAATTATATACTTTATTGGAATTTGTGTTTACATCCATTACAGTCAAAAGTCTGTTGGGTAAGAAGATAAATTTGTCAATGCAAAATTAACCCAACTTTACAATTTATATAAACCGTTTTACACTATATATTTACATTCGCACATATTTGCATCGTTTCCAAATGCAGCCTAAATGAGCTATTCTCCAACATGGCCTGCATGTTTCACACTGACTTGGGTGGCTGGCTAGTATCTCGCCAATGTCCACCATCTGTCTTATTAGTAGCGAGACATGTGGCATTTCCTCACTGCTAACATGGCAGTCCAGGGTATGACATGTCATAATTCCTTGGCTCATCTAGGTGTCCCTCTGTGGCATTTCTCGATTTGACCACGTGTCACTTCCTCATTGGACATGGATTATAGCTGCCTGCATCAAGGTCGAATTCGAATTCAAGTTTGGACAGACTTATATTGTTTTGCAACCCTAATAGAATAAGCAATGTTGTTTATAAAGAAAGGAGAAGGTAGAAAACCATCACACTGGGTCCAATATGTGTAATCATAATTCTACATGTACAACTAGCAAACATCATCAACCATTGTTTTTCTTCCATTTTTGCAATGGAACATTGAATCATGGGATTGATTGTATATGTTTATGAGGGAAAAGGATAGATGGTAACTAGAAAAGGTTAAAATATATAGGAAAAGATCATGATTGAGGTCAACCATTGGATTTTTGCAGCCCTACGGAGATTATGGATTTGGGCCCACCTGGTGCCATTATTTGGGCCCATATGGAACCAAATTTTGAGATCAAAGGATCTGACTGTTGGGGTGCTGTTTGTTTAAATGATTTCTTTTTTAATTGTTTTTTTATTGGAAGGATGGTTTGCAACATTATCCTTTTTAGCCTTCTTTGACAAATGCTGTCACATATTTTAGGACAATATAATATTTAACTCCTAATTAATTCTTAAAATGAAATCCAGACGTATTAAAACTAATTTATATTAAATAAAGTATAAAGAAAATAAATAGTTGCCATGGTTAAGCAAGGAACCCCTCACATGAGGTTGAGATTTTAATAAGAGGATTGGTGTCAGAAGGAATTTAATGCCAATGCAAGGTGGGGTCTGGTGCTTAGTATATGCCACTCTTGGATAAAAAATTGTCTCCAATCTGAGGAAACCTCTTTGAATCAAAATAGTGAAGAATATCAGGACCTACTTTGTATTTTTGTAAGGGTGAGATGCTGCTTGACAACTCAATACATTTGGGTTTTATGCCCATCAGATGGTCAAGAATGTAGTATCATCATGCAGCTTTTTGGGTATGCTATGTGTCAGATAACTAGTAAACTTATATGGGCAATCTGAGGTTTGTAAGGGAGAGATGCTGCTTGCCAACTCAATCAATTTGGGTTTTGATTCCTATCAGACGCTCAATATGGTAGTATGTATAATCATGTAATTTTTGGAGTATTATGGCCCTCCAAAGTTAAATGAGCTGCTAGGGTTTTGGAAATAAACGATCCATATCCAGCAAACCAATTCTAGGGTCTGCTGACTGATTCTATCACTTCTATTTAAATATGAATATAAAATAAATAAACGGAGGCAAGTTGGAATGTCGTTGACCTGACTTGGATTGGGTGGTGGGGGTGGTGGCCGGAGGCCGCAAACCTTTGGGCTGAGGAAACATACAGGCTACAGCTGCCGTCGGTGGATTGATTGAGGGGTATTTTAGATATTCTGGCGGTGTAGGAAGGGTATTTTAGATATTAAAATAAAACCTAGACTGTTTTAGATAATGATTGTAATAAACCTTTGCCTTTTCCTTTGTCAAATATAAAATACTATTCTTGTCAGAGATCGAAGGCCGTCCGGGTTGGCACTTGGCAGTTGGCATTCTTTCTTCGGCTCGGCTCGGCTCAGCTCAGCTCATCTCAGTTCGGCTCGTCTGGGGGAGACTATTGTCTGCTACACAAACAGGCGTACGAGGCACATGCAAGGGTATTTTAGTCATTTAAACGTGGAACGGTCGTGGTGGGTTGCATGGGAATTCGTGTTTGTTGCAAGTTGAATGTTGTGCGCGATTTTGGCGACAAAGAAAACGCATGCCAGCATGCGTGCCAAACTCGTACCTTTTTCATGACAAAATTGCCCTCACATTCTTGAACAGGGCCATGGTTTCTTCTGGTTCTAGTCGGGATATCTGGGTGTGGATCGGATCTGCAGTTCACGGCTTAGCACGTGGTAGATGTTCATTGGACCAATTTCCTTAACACATCTGCTACTACAAATAAAATATGTACAATATGCTACGAAACCCAATCAGAAGTCAACACATCAACCATCCTAAGTAAGACCTAAACTAAGGAATGTCAGTGGATCGGGTCTTATCCTATCGGGTTGGAATCAGAACAGCCTTAATTCCTTGATTAGGTTTCGGGTTGAGGCCACCCCATGGCAAACCCAGCCTACTGACAATATTATTAGCATTTTATTTAGTGAGTGAATCGGGTTTAATTGCCCATTTTATTTAGGGGCTGTTTGGTATGTAATGGTGTTGTGTTGTAATTGTATTTTGTTTATTTATTTTTTTTTTTGGGGTATTAATCAGCTCTTGGTGGTGGGACAATTCATCCAACTCACCAATTGGGTTGATCAATACAAATTTATGAGAAAACTGTGTTGTCTCATCATATATAAATGCCATTTCAGCAACTAGAAAAATGCATTTCTAACTAATCATTTGAAACATCAAATTCTATGTTTTAAATAGAAATAGCAATTTGTGTTGATCAGATTAAAACGCTTTTGAAACATTTCAGGTAGAAAAACACTTCTTTCACACAAATTTATATTAATCAACCCAAAACACAATTGCAATGCAAGTATGCAACACCACTTACCCAACACTTCCTTAGTTGGGCAGGTCAGGTTTAGGTTGATCCAAACCCATTTTTGAAGATTACAAGTTGACACCCATGGTAGCGTGTCATGCCCAGCTGTTGGGAACATCTCTAAGCATAACACACAAACCCATTTAGTTTCCTGCTTGTCTTTGGTAGTGTTTGGTTTCATTGCCGTTTATTTGAAAAATAGCACGAGCATAGTGCTACTGCTACATAGGCATTTCCCCCAATATGGAATTTGAAATGTTGTTTGGTTAAACCATTTATCAAATTAAAGAAACATTTTTCTTAAGTTGTGTGAGAGTCATTTGTTGGGAAAACATCTTTTCGATGTTCCCCACAATTCTAAGGTGTTTTTTCACTATTCAGTTTATGTGGTGCCTAATGTTGTCTAATGACACCTAACTGTCAAAAAACATTTTTTAATAATTTTTCTTATTTTTCATGATGCATGTCATACAAAATGGTTTTTAAATAAACAAAATGATCATGAAACTAAACAGCCCCTTTTGGTAATAAGAATCAAGGTTCAAAGTATCGACACGTATCAGCTGATACATA